GCGGCAATGACTCACTTTTCTGTGAAGATGCTGGGGGTTGCACCGTTCTGTACAGAGTCCAAGTTTATTCCTGTTGTGTTTGAACTTTACCTCTCACTGCTGTGGGACATTTATTTCCTCATAAGGCAGACAGTTAACAGAGCAGATTTTCACTTGGGAGATAAGGCTTCTTAGTGGAGAGTTAGATTCATAAGCAAGACACATGACTGACTTGAAAGAGGATGTGTGTATTCTTAGTGAAAGTGAGAAACGGCTGTAGATGCCGGTGGGGTAGTTTGGGTTAGGTTAAGATGCTCTGGCCATGTAGACTGGGATGTGCACACTGGGGCCAGGCCTATATGCTGTGAATTGATGCACACGACTGTCTCCTTCTGAGCTCCCTGTGATCTACGACAGATGGTTATCAATTTATAACCAACGTATCATGTATTCTGAGCAGTTCACACTGGCTCCAACACAAAGCACATGCTTACTACTGATATAAATCAAGAGTTTCTGAGCCTGAATAAAGATGACTCTGTAACCCATACCCAGGAAAAGGAGAACTGGGAGGCAGCACCGGCTATCCCTACGGCATACGCCGGTCATTCCCCTCCCTGAACACAGGCCGTGCAGTGTGAATTGTTTCCATGGGAAGAAAGGGCAAACAGAAAATCTGCCTGTGGTTTAAATCAGTTAACGACCTCAGAGGACACTAGATGCGGGAGCTTTCTTTTCCTTAACTGTGATACATTTTCATGATGGAGAAGAAAGTCTGGGAAAGGAATTGTGACTAGCATAAAAGATAACACGGGGGCCTTGGTACAAATGAAAACCTTCTGTCTGCCGGATCTTTTCTGCTGAGAGGGCCAACTGTGATTTGTCGCTGCACGAGATAGGCATGACCCAGGTGAAAAACTTTGGCTTGAAAATGATTCCCTCCTGGGCAGCAGATGGGTGAATTCAGGATAAAATGGTTTTTAAGGCCCAGAGTGAGTCAGCTAGAATTTAAACACACCAAATACACACGCAAGGGAAGCGAATAAAGGCTCACAGGGCATCCGAGCAGCTTACAGCTCCTTGGAAGGGGTGGGAGGAATTCATTCAGGGAGGTGGGAAAGCCATTGCTCCTGGATGTGCCTGCACGTCCTGGGCTGGGTGAATTACAGTGCTATACTGAGAGGGCCCAGCCCCTGGGAAGGCAGGGAGACTCAGCTGGCGATGCTGTTGGCTGTGGTGCCCAGGATACACTGCCAGCCGCACCTACAGGGGAAGCAGGGCCAGCTCTGTGGGGAGGATAAGCCTGTCTTAGGATTGGACTGACAGCTCAAAGGCTGGCCTAACCAAATGTCAGAGATGACCTTTTCCATGCAGTGGGAGCACCTTATGATTTCTCATCAGGCTCAGAGCCCTATCACTTCCGCAGAGGCTACCCCACCCACCTAGAGGATTGTTACAAACATGAAGGAAAAAATAGGTATCTTTAGGGCACTGTTTGACAGTGACAAGTAAATTGCCTTTATTTATAAGAAGAGAGCAGGGGACATGTCATTGCGACTGGCACATAACAACCACAAGGTCAAAAGAATAAGCTGCTTGAATGCAGGCATCCCAGTCCCAGCAACATAACTCCTGGGGCTGTGATCTGTCAGGGATTTGGCAGGTTAAGGGTGTTAAGTGTTTGGGGGGGGGCGGTGTGTGCCTGCGCATCTCCCTCCTAAACCATTTTCTTAGGGACTCCCTCAGAGGCTATCAAGCCTTTCCTGATGCAGTCAAATGCTGAATCCACATTTTGTGTATGTGAAGTTTTATTCTTCTTCTTTCACCTTTAGGATACTCTGGGAAGTAACTAACTTTTTGCTTCTTGAAAGTGGTATCAAAATGTTTACTGTTATCACATTCAGTTCTTTCTCTTCCCACATTCACTTACTCCCAAGATGGTGTGAGCAGTTAAATCAGGACCATACTCCTCTGGTTTATGTGACTGTATTTTTAGATGAACATTTCTTTCTTTCAATTTCCTCCTTTTACAATGCCGTGCCAAAATGAAAAAGGAGATGGGGGAGTCTCTTTCACATCACATGAATCAAATTGTTATATCCTATCAAGTCAATACCATCAAAGTCAGTGTCAGATAAAAGAATAGCCTTCAAGCTAAAAACAGCACTGCACCGAGAAAACAAAAGCCTTTGTATCCTCATATCCTCAAGAAGACCAGCACCTTTGCCTGTTCCCCACCCATTACTATGTCTTAGTCTGTTTGGGCTGCTATAACAAAAAAGCATAGACCAGGTAGCTTACAAACAACAGAAATGTATTTCCTATGGTTCTACAGGCTGGGAAGTCCAAGAACAAGGCACCAGCAGAGTCCATGTCTAGTGAGGGTTTGCTTTCTGGTTCGTCAATGGTGCTGGAAGGAGAGACTATCTAGCTCTCTGGCATCTCTTTTATAAGGGCCTGAATCCCGTTTATGGCCTAATCACTTCCCAAAAGCCCTACTTTCAGAAACTATCACACTGAGGGTTAGATTTCAACATTTGAATTTGAACCAACATTCAGACCATGACAGTGTGGTTGAACTGTCCATACCCTTATCCAAGGCTGGACCCTCCTCTTGTGCCCTGCTTGTCTACTCACAGGCACCTCTCCAAGCTCTTCCTTGTGCCATTCCTTTGCTCATTTTTTCCTTCCATCTTAACAAAATTTATATTGACCCCACTCTGGGTTTTACTTCATTTCTGTTCTCCCTTCATAGCAAAACATCTCAAAAGAGTACTTAGTACTTTTCCCAAATCCTCCCTTTTGTCCTCTTAAACATGATTCATTTGAGCTTTTGATCCCAAAACTTCACCAAAATTACTCTTGCAAATGTCACCAATGCCCCCATGTTGTTTACTTGACAACATGTGCACATTTGGCAGTTTCTCACTCCTGCCTCTGGGAAACTATGTGCTTGACTTTGGGGGTACCACATTCTCCTGGTTTTCTCTGCTGCTTTCCTCCCTTTTATCTGTTTATTTGCTGTAACCCTCTCATCTTGCTGACCTCTTGCTTGGAATGCCTATAGCTCCAACCCCTGATGATCTCATCCATGATCATAACTTTAAATATTATTGTATTAACTGTGGTGTCTTTTATTTTCCATATGCTGATGCTTTGACATCTGGGGCCTGGCTGACCATGGAGGGGCTGCTTCTCCCAGGGTTAGCCAATTCCTAGAGATAGTAAACAACAACTCTCTCAATTACAAACCAAACCAAGCCAGAGCCCATATCCTCCATTTCCTCATCTGAGCTTTTACACCCTTGGCCACTGTCCACATGCTTCAATGATCCCACGACCAGATACCAGACAAAGAGGGACAGCCTCTACACACAAAGCCCACTGAAATGATACTAACTAGCCAATCTGAAATGTACTCACTCTACCTTACCCATTCTTTCTCAGGGAAACCACAGTAAAGGCTGTTGCTTACAATTTCTCTCTCTCTCTCTGCCCTCCCATCTCACTTCGGTGCTTCCCCACGTGGCCCTCCTTGACCTGCCATGCCACCTGTTTGTAGGGATCTGTGAGTATAATACACTTCTTCCTTCATGACAGTGCTGTGCATGTCTGTGTATCTTACCATGACTGAGTAAAACAAATCCCAGGTACACTTAAAACAATAAACATATACCACACACTTTAAACTTAATGTTTCTGTCCCCGACTTCAGTTCACTCCTCCTGCCTATATCCATCTGCCTTCAGAAAATCTCCACCAAGATGTCAAAGAGTGTCTCAAACTTAACATGTCCAGTCCCTTATCTTCTGCTGTGCCCAGCAAGCCTGCTCCTCCTGCAGTCTTTCCCATGTCACTTAATGATAAAGGATGTCATCATTTACTCCTCTCATTCTCCTGTACTCCAAGCCATCAGCACACTTTCTTGGGCCTTCACGTGATGTCTAGGACCCATCCTTCTTTTATAGTACATGCCAAAATATAAACCACTGTTTCTGTGTCAGTCTTTAGTTTATAAAAGTGTATCTGGAACACTATATACTCAATAAATATTAATGCATTAATTAATGCATGCCCTACTTTGTTACAAATGAGATAATGTTGTACTTTATTTCAATCTTATTAGACTTGAAGAAAGACTAAAATTTACTGTCCCGATGTAACTTGAGCCCTTGAGATCAAGATGAGATTGTTTCAAGCCTAATTTCATTTTCGGTTAGACCTTTAATCTCTTTCCAAAGCTTTCTATGAATTCCAAGGACTTGAGTCTCATGATCACCTTCAACTCCAGCTTCCATGAAAATGGCTAAGTATGTCGATGGTTTTACCATCATGTGCCTTTTGACTCTTTCTACAACACTGAAGTTGTCACCTGATTCATTTTTCACTCTCATGAATCATTTTGATTATAGCACAACTTACCAAATAATTGTGTTTTGTAGAGAAGGACTTTATATTGCAGAGACACAAATGATTTCAAATTGAGCACTACAAGTCAGTATTCCACATCCACTTACCACTGGGGGTTTCTAAATGGCCACTTCCCTCCACAGGATCCTCAACCTTACACACTTCTTCTCTCTCTGCCTCCCCAATCTTCTTCCTCAATTACTACTCCACCCCCCTTTAAAATTCTTCTCATTCTTTTCAGGAGCAGAATAAATCAGCTTTCTATGTTACAAGATCCTCCTCTGAAGATGGTAGTGGGTTTTTTAAAAATATGAATTACCTTTTATTATGAAAAATTTCAACATATAAAAATATGAATAGAACAATGAATACTCACATAGCACACCATCCAGATCTAGTAATATTAACATTTTGTCGCATTTGCTTTATCTGTATTTTTAGCTGAAGCCTTTTAAAGTAATTTATAGATATTATGACTGTACTCTGAGCATCATCTTCAAAGAATGAGTACATTCCGTTATATAACCACCCATGCGATTTCCACATCTGACATTTTAGCATATTTCTTAATGTCATCTAATATCTAGTTCATTTTCAAATATCTCCACTTGTCTCCCAAGCGGTTGTGATTTGAAGCAGATTTTGTCTCAGTTAAACCTATATTTTAAAGAGCATCTTGTTGTTGTGAAGCATCTGAATATGGTTGCATGCTTTTCTTAACGCTTCCCTTTGTACAAAGTAGAGACAAACATCAGTGGTCAAATGCTCTTTATTGAATTACCTGTTGCAGGAGACCAGCACCATTAAAGTGGGGTCTCTATTTTACACAGCTGTTTAACGGCATGAGATGGATGAACTCATTTGTTAAATTGGGATCTGTAAACAAAAACAAATGGGAGGAAGAGAGACAGAGACAATGAGTAATGGAAACACAGTTTCCAGACTGCAGAAGCCAGAGCTTTACTAGAAAATATCTGCAGCCCTGAGGAAAGGCTTTCCGGGGTCCCTGTGACTGTTACCTAGCAACAAGCCCATCGTGCAGGGCACAGTGGAGTCCAGTTTAGCGGGGCTCAGGAAAAACACGTGAGTAACAGCACGAAATTTCTTCTTTTATACTATGTTAATGACTCAGGTCCATGACAGGCTCTTACAGGGGTGAGTGTCTGAAGAAATCACCCCTGAATAATGCTTTCCCCATGTTAAGTCCCTAAAGGAGAAAAATGGCTTTAGCTTAATTTACTGTGCACATGTCATTACTTATTTGTCCGTATATCCATCTGATAAGAGCTAAATATACCATATGAAAAAGAAAATCATCCAAGCTTAAATTAGTTTTGATGCATGGTGTAAGGCTCTAAGACCCGTCCAAATTCATTCCTAATAGCAAATGAAGTCTGTATCACAGATTTAGTTATTATTAATTTTTTGGCTTTAGAAATTGCTTTTAAGCAAATGACTGCATTTTTTTCAGGTTTGCCCTCTTTCTTCTATTAGGGTGTTAATCTGAGCTGACTGGATTGCTTTTCTGTCATCTGTTTTTGCCTAAGATTTGTCAGGAAAAGAAGTATGTTTCCAGAGTACAGTATTTTAACAATGCAATTATGCCGATGGTCTTTCTTATGTAACAATATCCCCCTTTTAAAAAAATGCTCAGTGCTTTTCTAATTTTGCTTCTCTTTACCTTTAACTAAGTCAGGCTAAGACATGCATTAGCCAGAAGCAGGACAGTAAACCAAATTACTTGATCTCAGGTCTAGATTTTCATTGGTTGAACTGTGTTTGTTGGTTTGTTTTTCAAATATATTGAGGCTGTAGAAACTCATTTGCCTGGAATTATGTCCTGAAATCCCAAAGTTCTGCAGATAATGAAGGTAGGACATAGAACTTACTTAAAAGGCCATTTTGGTCCAATGGCTGTATTTCTTTTATTTTGAAAAATAATTTCTGTTGATATTAAGGACACTGAGATTCCATAATAACAGCAAACGTTTCTATATGGCTTACTACTCTTTAGGGACTGTTTTAAGTGCTTTAAATGAGTTCTCATTCAATCTTCACAACAGCGCTTTGAGATAGACACTACCATGATCTTCATTTTATAGATGAGGAAACTGAGGCATACAGGGTTCAAATAACTTGCTCAATTTTGTGGAGCTTGTATTTGAACCTAAGCAGCATAGCTCCCAAGTCCATGCTCTTAACAACTGCGCCATCCTCTGCTTTTACATTAGTTGTTTATTCAATCATTTATCCAACAAAGCTTTGTTGTGAGCACTGGAAACTCACAACAATGGCAAGAAATGGACAGTGTCCCTGCCCTCAGTGGATTATCCTCAAGTCTGATGGATATAATAGCCCAGTGCAAAGCAGGTGGTTTCTGTCCTGTGTTGCCCTATGTAGAGCAAATTATTATAAACCTCCAGGTAAGTCACTGCCAAATTTCAAAGACTGTACTTTTCATTACAAATGTGACTCATTGTCTTTGTCTGTTTGTGCATTGCTATGAGGGATTACCTGCAGCTGGACAAGTTAGAAGGAGAAGAGGTTTATTTGACTCACAGTTTTGCAGACTGTACAAGAAGCATGGGGCCAGCATCTGCTTCTGGTGAGGGACTTCAGAAACTTCCATGCATAGCAGGAGGGGAAGCAGATCAGGCATCACAAAGCAAGAGAAGAAGCAAGAGAGAAAGGGGAGGAAGTACCAAGCTTTTTTAAAACAATCTATTCTTATAGGAACTATTAGAGTGAGAACTCACTCACTTCTGGGAGGATGGCACCAAGATGTTCGTGCAGGATTTGCCCCCATGATCAAAACCCCTCCACCAGGCCCCACCTCCACCACGGGGATCATTTCAACATGAGACCTGGTAGGGACAGACAAACTGTCCAAACCATAGCACTCATCACCCGTTCATCCATCCATTGGTTCATTTTTCACACATTTATTGGGCACACTTACTATGCACCAAATGCTGGGTCAAAGTTTCTGGGAATACTCTGGACCCCTCTGTGGTGACTGGGCAACCCCAAGCTTCTAGAAGAACTGGCAAAACCCAGGCTATCTGAAATAACAAGAAGAAATTGTTGATTTTTAACCTGTAAATTCTCTTAGAATTTGGTTTCCCCAAAATGAGTTACTTGCTTTGTGATGCTTGTTACTTACTGTATCGATTATATTTGAGAAAATGAAGGATAGATAATGTGAAATGCTAAGATGTGACTTGTAACTTTGGCTCTGTTGAGCTGCAACCTTAACTTTGGGTCTGCTGAACTGCTCCGGTAAAAACAGGAACTCTGTGAATGGGTCTAACCACATAGCTTGACTGCCAGAGAGAGATGACAGTTGCAGAGGGCCTATAAACGAACCTGTAATGGAGAGGCTTATTACCCAGATTCCTTTCCCAGGAAAGGCATATTGATTAGAGCCCTGGCAAGGGAATGCCACCCTTATGGAGAGCCTATGAACAGACGCCTGAGGGGCGTCTGTCTCTGTGGTTGCGATAAGGATGTAAAAGTATTTCTTCACCCACTGCTCCTCCAGGCCTGCGTGGAGGCCCCCTCCTCTTGCAGATTTTGTGGTCAGGCTGGTTGTCCTGTGTCAGATCCTGTTCCCCCTGTAGCTGTGAGCCCAATATGTTCTTGCTGATAATCATAAGTTTATGTTTAACCTATATTCTTGCTAAGGTGTATGGTTTCTATGCTGACACAAAGAAAGTTATCTTTACATTGTTCTGCTTTTAAAATACGACGTGATTTTGGTGCACTAGTTTTTGCAAATGTATTCTTTTTGTATAATTATCACTGAAACTTTGCTCCCCCTCCTCTATTGAAAGAGCACAATGAAAAATTGAGGTTTTCAGGGGAATGTCAGACATCCACAGAACAGCATTATGTGGTGTCTCCCCTGGGCCCCGCTTTAAGGAAAACTTTTTCCTTGTCTCTCTTTCTTTGTCACCGACCACTTGATCACTTTGAGAGATCTTGAATCCACGTTGATATACTGGGAGCTGGTCTCGACAATAAAGGTATGTTGAGGGTACAGGGATGCCCAAGAACACACACCCATACAAACAAACAAGTTTTACAAAACTCAAACTATAAAGCACTCAGCAGTGCTCAGAGTGCTTGAGGAGCACAGAGGATTCTCTGGCGGGTGGGTTAAGGAGCTACCATCTCCTGCTTCTCTACCTGTAGAAGAATAAATGTACAATTGGTATATGCATGTTGTTGTTGTTTTGCTGTAGAATCCTACAGGAAATCCTAGTAATACTGCATAGGAACACTTTTGCTCAAAACTCCTCTCAGGTAAGGCTCTCACCTCCTTGGAGCACTCAGCTACTAATTTATCGAAACCATTAGTACTCCCCATTAACACACCTCAGGGCCACTCTTCACAAGCATCACTAACCAAAGAGCCACATGCCTCTGAGTGTTGTTTAATATGTTGTTATAATATGGAAATAAGAGGCCATGAGGGGTCCTGGGAGCCTGTGCTGGGGCTGTCCATGCCCCATCTGTACCTTTCTCCCCTCAGCACTTTGGAGCCCTGGATATCCAGCTGCCAGCAGGTACATTTCTTCTTCCATAAGTTTTCTCTGGCTGCCATGGGATTCATCACTCCCGGGACAACTCAGTCAATTACAGATGGCGAGACCCTCAGAAGTGCATCTGCTACGCTGGCTCCTGGATTTCTCCAGCAGGTTAGAGCTGTGGGTACCCGTAGTTATAACTCCCTTGACAAGGAAACCTTTCTTGTCTATCATTTCGTTTCTGTCTTGCTTACTGTTCTACAAGTGCTCTCTGGATCTCATCTCAAACTAATTGCACTTAAATTCTAGTCCTGGGGATTATTTCTGGGGCAGACAAACTAAGACTTAGGGCACAGTCTGAGTATTCATATTCTAGCGGCTTGATGGGGTTCTTGTGCTGTTTTCATCAGCCCTACTCATTCACACGGGCATCACAGGCATCTCTGTTCCATGAAAGATCTTGTATTTCTTGCAGAAAGCACCATGTCTTACCTTAAACAAAGACAAAGAACCCTAAGCAGATGTAGATTTGCCTTTTAGAAGCTTTCATTCTCAATGACTCCCATCAAAACTTGGCCTTTCTATGTCTTTATTAACTCATTTCATGTTTTAAGTGCAGTGGCGTGATCTTGGCTCACTGCCACCTCTGCTTCTGGGGTTCAAGCGATTCTCCTGCCTCAGTCTCTGGAGTAGCTGGGATTACAGGTGCACACCACCACACTTGGCTAATTTTTGTATTTTTAGTAGATATGAGGTTTTCATCATGTTGGCCAGGCTGGTCACGAACTCCCGACTTCAAGTGATCTGTCTGCTTCGGCACTTCAACTGCTGGGATTCCGAATTTCATTCTTGATATGCTGCTTTGAGAGTCCAGGGTGTTCTGATCATGAAGGTTTTCAGTGGGTTTGTTTTCAGTGCTCTTGGTCTTCAGGTTATAATAGCCTGGGAGGCAAAACCATTAAGAGTGTCACTGTTTTGTGATTTGCTCACAAATGAAATCAGTCTTAGTTACCTTCTCTGAGATGTCAGTGGTCTGAAAACATGTCTCTCCCTATATGTCTATACACTTCTATAATGGGGAAAAATTCTGCTGGGCTTAAGGAGCAACATTGTAATATTCCAGGACACATTGATATATTTTTTAACCAGAATGGTGTCAGTCTGGAGAAAAACTGAGATGTACTGTACTGGCATCAGTTAAATCAAGGAAGAAGGCAGGTATCTGAAGACAGAAATGATTGAAGGGTTAGCAGGAGCCAAAGTTTGCAGAGGGTAGGAGGAAAGTCAGCAAAGAGGGAGGAGAGAGTTGAGCAGGAGATAGGACCAAAAAACCCAAAGCAAAACACAACCAAACTAGTTTTCTCTCTACTTGGCTCTTTTACATTTGGCCTCTGTGTTTGGAAAATAACAGGGAAAGAGGAAAAAATATAGACAATCAAATGTTCCCCAAAGCAGAATGGATGACAGTCCAAGACGCTGTGTGGAGCCTCTTGCTTTATCTCCAGGGCACTTCAAGTGTTAGAGTAATTACTGCCCTCATAGCTGCACAGAGGCTTTTGTTTCTTATCGCATTTCACACACGTTGATAATGTCAAAATTAGAGACTGTTTGGACTCTGGGTTTACTAAGTGGCTGCCTGAAGTTTCCTTAGAAAACAAGAGGTAGCTGGCTAGGCACGGTGGCGCAGGCCTGTAATCCTAGCACTTTGGGAGGCCAAGGAGGGTGGATCACCTGAGGTCAGGGGTTCGAGACCAGACTGGCCAAGATGGTGAAACCCTGTCTCTACTAAAAATACAAAAGTAGCCGGATGTGGTGGTGGTGGTAGGTGCCTGTAATGCCACCTTCTCAGGAGGCTGAGGCAGGAGAATCACTTGAACCTGGAAGGTGGAGGTTGCAGTGAGCAGAGATAGCACCACTGCACTCCAGCCTGGATGAAAGAGCAAGGCTCTGTCTCAAAAAAAAAAAAAAAGGTAGCCAAGATCAGCATTTGGGGTCTATTTTATAATTGCTTTCTTTTCTGCGTTTTGCTACCTCCCCCCACTTTTTCTCCTCAGGGCTGAAAAGTGACAAAAGGAATTTTATAACCTCTGTCTTTGAATATTATTTAACCAAAAAGTGAACTGCAGCAAAGCGAACACTTTCCTGTTTTCAAATATGCAGGCATCCTATCATCAACGGAAGTCAATTTCATCCGCCTGATGGGAAAACACCATATCCTTCTTAAATGGAATTGCCCCCTCTGAAACCGATGTTCCATACAAGCAAATGACCAACTGTGCTGGCGCTGTCACAGGATTAAAAATGACGATCCTATCTCATGCTTCTACCACTGCTCATCATTTCTAAGCCATCAACATACAGAAACCACTTGATCTGCTTCTGATTCGAGTCTCTTCAGGAGTGGAAGCGTAATGGCCAGGGACACCAATAGCTCACAGCTCCTGCACGCCTGTGAGGGAGGGAACATCCACCCCAGAGCCTGGGATCAACTCTGCTCTGCAGAAATCGCCCTAAGATATTAAATGTCCACAAAAAGCAGATTGGAGCCTTGCTTCTCAGTGTTCTTCCTCCAAAGGCCTCTTACTTCCAGCAGCTGGGGATCAGCCCCAACTGCCTCTGAAGGAGGAAAGGCCGAGTTGATTTAGTTTTTGTTCCAGCTGGATGGAGGCTTTGCTCTGACTCCAACTCAGAAGGATGGGGCGCAGCCTGGGTGGGAGCAAAAAGGTTCTCTTCATAGCCCTGCTGCTGGCGTGGGCTGCTCTTTTCACTCTCTGGACCTGTCTCCCCATCTGTGGAATGGGGCAAGGATGCTGACCACCAGATAAATCTTTGAGATTTAATTTCCACGTACAAGACTTTAAAATCCAGAGCAAAAGGGATAATTTGAATATAAAGCACTGTTAGTATTTTGGACCCACTTCTGCCAGTACTCTGTTGTTCCCTGCTCTAGAGTCTTCTCCAGGGTTTCGTTCAGAAGCTGCTGCTGCTGTCTCACAATACCCACATGGCTCAGCCTCCAGCTCCCAGTGTCTGAGAAGGTGACTGTCCATATAGCATGGGGACAGCCCAGTTTGCTGCACTGATAATTTTGCTCATTAATACTTGAAAATACACACAGAGATAATGATTTCTCATAAATACCGGGACGCTTTCTGCTTTAGAATGAAAGCAAAAGACCTCCTTCACTGTATGTCCCATTACGATGTATGCATCCTGGTCATTTTACCTTTCTGTAAGAAACCCAAGGGACAGAGGGGCCAGAGGCTGTGCTGCTCCCAGTGGCTGCAGTGCTTGGAATTTATGAGGTTGGAAGGCTGTCAGCTATTCAGGATCACAGAGCTCAGGGGCTGACAACGGGAAGGGAGTCTCTTTACTATTACCTCTCATACATTGACTCCATAAATATCTTTTTTTATTATTATTTCTGCTGTTTGTAGATTTCATTTATGGATGTGGTTAATGCTGCATCTGAATGTTAAGGGAATTACTATCCTTGTTAAGAATCTGACCTATTGGGGAGATTTGCTGAGGCTTTTCTCCCCACCGCAATAAACACGTCTGGTAGATGGCAAGGGGCTTATTTTTCCCCTGGATACCCTGGTGAGTATTTGGGGGGAATGACTTTTAAGAACCAGAGAGAGCATTCCCTCCAACATTTAACATGCTTTGATGTTGGCTGAGGGAGGTAATCATCCCTGCCTGTGCCTTATGGGGGCGGAAGGGGAGCCCTGCTATAGTGGCCAGGCTATTTCTGTGCATCTATTCTCCAAGAACAATGATGGAGCTGCAAAGACAAACCCCAAAGCTGAGAGGGACCCAGTACACAGCAGGGGGGTACAACACCAGCACCCCATAAAGCCACTGTCAGTGCTGTGCAATAGACACATCCTCTTCCTGTCCCAGGGAGGCAGGTCTCTGTGTAGAGTGGTGACCAGCTGCAGTTTGAGGGATTCACTGGGCTCCTGGTCAGAGTATGCCAGGCAAGGTGTGGGGATCAAAGACTGGATTCTTGAGAGAGGTTGATTCGATCCGTAGGACTATGCCAGTCATTTGAAGAGGCAGTTTTGGAAGGATGAAGTACCAACCTAGTATTCAAAATCCCGACTGACTACTCCCAATGCTCTTAATAACAGTATTTCAAAGAATCACGGGGACATGTGTGCCTGCATATGCGTGTGTGCCAGTGTGTTCATGTGTATGTATATGGACTTGTGTGCATGTGTGTGTATGGGTGTGTGCACCTGTATGTGCATGTGTGCACATGTGTGCCTGCATATGCATGTGTGCCAGTATGTGCATGTGTACGTATATGGACTTGTGTGCATGCGTGCATGTGTGTGTATGGCCGTGTGCACCTGTATGTGCATGTGTTCACATGTGTGTGCCTGCATATGCATGTGTGCCGGTGTGTGCATGTGTACGTATATGGACTTGTGTGCATGCATGCATGTGTGTGTATGGGTGTGTGCACCTGTATGTGCATGTGTGCACATGTGTGTGCCTGTGTGTGAGATTTCTCAGCCAGAGCGCTTTTCTGCCATGCATCTAACAGCCTACACCATCAGCACAACAACCTCAAAACCCATTCTGTGTTGTTTTCCTTCAGATCTCTTCTTCATTCCTTCCCCTTTTCTCAGATAACCATATGCTCACTTGTCCAAACTGGAAACATTGATGTTTGCCTTATGTCCTCTTCTCCCCTTTTCCTCAGCTCACATCCAATAAATCACTAAGGCATTTGGATTCTGAGTCACAAATCTCCTCTCAAATCCTTCTGCTGTTCTCTGTTCCAGTTCCCATAACCATAGGGTGATGATTTTCAGGCTATGATTTTTCTCCTAACCTGGATTACTGCAAAAGCCCCCTAAAGGGTATGCTTGTTTCTAACCTGGACCCCCATCCATCTACGTGCAATAAAGAATGGCACTTGAGCATAATACCACCTTCATTAGCTTCCTATCACCTTCAAACAAAGGGCAGACTGTATTACCTGATCTAGAAGGAACTTTGTGGTCTGTTTCCTGCCACTTTCTCCTGTGAGCACCAGTGCGCCAGCCATGTGCCATTTTGAATCACTTGCAGTTCTCAGACCACCCTCTCTTTTATGGGCCATTGTGTATGTTTCTCCTTCTATCCAGAATAATTTCCCCTGCTCTTTCCTTAATTCTAATTCAGCATTCACGTATTGGCTGAGATGCTACCTCCTTCAGGAAGCTAATTTTGTCCAAAGATTGAGCAAAATGCCCCTTCAATGCACCCCCATAGCACCTCATGCTTTACCGCACACAGCTGCGCTGTGCTGTGCTGGAACTGCCTGTTGACTCATTGGTCTCCCATCCAGGATGATGAGCTTCTTGAGAGTAGCAGACACTGTTATTTTACTCTCAACACAAAGTTTCAAGCAACTAGTCAGTATTCACTTGCTTATTTTATAAAAACATACATGAGTCTTTTTACACCCAGTTTAATGGTTTTCAACAGTACTGTTTCCTCTATTTTTCTTGTTATTCTAACCCTGTGTATTTTGGGGTTCAAGTCAATGCATCTGCATAGACCCACAGTTTTGTACCCTGCACAAAACTGGGATTCACCTTACTCAATAAGAAAATAGGTTGCTAATGTAGTGGGGCAGTAGTATTTTCAACATCAGTGATAATCAATATTTGCTGAACATTGCTGTATGCCATGCACTGACCTAAGCTTACATATGTTAGTTCACTTAATTATCACCAGAACCCTATGGAGAAGGTACCGTTAACACCCTAATCTCAAAGATAAGTTAACCAAGGTATAGTTGAGTGAAGTTTATTGAATAATTAGGAAATGGTAGAGTTAGGACACAAGCCCAGGCAGACGAACTTTAGAGTCAGACTTTAAATCAATAAGCTCTGTTTTGCTGAGTTGAAATTGAGCCCAAGTGCCCAAGGATGATAGACTGGACAGGGAAAATGTGGCACATATATACCATGGAATACTATGCAGCCACAAAAAATGATGAGTTTGTGTCCTTTGTAGGGACATGGATGAACCTGAAAACCATCATTCTCAGCAAACTGACACAAGAACAGAAAATCAAACACCGCATGTTCTCACTCATAGGCAGGTGTTGAACAATGAGAACACATGGACACAGTGAGGGGAGCATCACACACTGGGGTCTGTCGGAGGGAAATAGGGGAGGGACAGTGGGGGGTGGGGAGTTGGGGAAGAGTTAGCATGAGGAGAAATGCCAGATATAGGTGATGGCGAGGAAGGCAGCACATCACACTGCAATGTGTGTACCTATGCAACGATCTTGCATGTTCTTCACATGTACCCCCAAACCTAAAATGCAATAAAAAAATAAAAACATAAATAAATAAATAAAAGAAATTGAGCTAAAATACTATGCTGTGAATGTTTCCCTCTGGGGATTTTTTCTAGTGACAATCAAATAGTCCCACCGGACCTGTGTTAATAACAATGGATAGGATGAACTGGGTTTCAGGGATTTCTTCCTCCTGGGGAAATTTTTACTTTCTTCCAAGGACTCAGGCACTGGAGAGCCAGGTGTCTCCCATAAATAAAGATTTCTCAGGCACATTCAGGTGGGTGTCCGTCAGAGCGGAAAGTCTTCATTTGTAGAGGGCTCTCACTCTTACTAGTCGCAACCCTTCCAATGGGCTTTATCCCTAATCTGGGAGTACAGTGTGAGTATTGTAAGTATAGATTATTGGGTATGAAGATAAAAGTGAGAATTTATCTCACTTTTATCTGTAGAGTGAAACATGTAGGCAGAGAAGGGCATTAGCTCAACATGTTAAGCTAATGTTGGGATGTGAGACAGTGCCCCAAGAAAAACTGCCTGAAACACCCAGAGAGCAGGGATGCCAGGAAGACGGGTGGGTGACTGCATGGGAGGATGAAGAAGGCGCCACAGCGAGTTCAGTCTTTTGGCTGCCCCAGCCCACATCACAGCCACACATGTGAGGGTACAGAGCTGAACAGGTCACTCCCAGTGGGAGCACTCCCTGTGTGGCTTCCACCTGGGGATTACTGGGGAATCCTGCTGCCTGGCTGTCTGTCTGTGAGCTGAAAGCCTGGCATGGAGATGTCCCACCTCCTCTAACAATCTCTTCCTTTGCCAAACCAAGCTACTTTTCTCTCTTCCTCCCTCTTCTTCCCTTTCTTTGGTGCTCAGAGACACAAGGTGTGAGGAAAGGAGGAAACAAGCAGGCTTCCTAAAGTAGCCACAGCCAGGCCAGGAACAGTGGCTCATGGCTGTAATCCCAGCACTTTGGGAGGCAAAGGCAGGTGGATCACCTGAGATAAGGAGTTTGAGACCAGCCTGGCCAATATGGCAAAACCATGACTCTACTAAAAATACAAAACTTAGCCGGGAGTGGTGGCGCACCCCTGTAATCCCAGCTATTCAGGAGGCTGAGGCACAAGAATCACTTGAACCTGGGAAGTAGTGAGCCAAGATCGTGCCATTGCACTCCAGCCTGGGCAACAGAGTGAGACTCCATCTCAAAAAAAAAAAAAAAAAAAAAAAGGAGCCACAACCTTCTGTCTGTGCTCAAGGTTCAGACCTCTCCACTCCCAAGGTAACAACTCTGACTGCTTTGGAGGAAAGATTAAAAGTCTTGATTGGAGTTTCAAAATTGTAGTAAGCGGGCCCAACTTACATGGAAACCACTAGGCTGAATTCTGGAGCTTTAAATGACAAACTATGGGGCCAATATTTCTACCAGGGAAAGATAGCTTCCAGATGAGGCATCTGGTGTCTAAGCACACACGAGCATATGTGTTTACTGTGTCCAGATAAGTCAACAACTTTACTGAGCACCTACCCCATGCCCAGAACTCCACTGAATCGACTCTGAGTGTTTGGCAGCAGGGATACATATGTTTGCCTCTAGCCTAGTGACAGTGGCACAACAGAAGGGAAGAGAAGGCAGTCTTGTTGCGAAATGTGTCTGGAAGATTTCTTCCAGCGCGGACACTTTTACAGCTTATAGGCGAAGCTGCTTCCTTTGGTGTACTTTTGTTGTAAGTATTACTTCTTCCCTTCCACAGATGAGCCAAGGAGGCTAAGGGGCAACATGAAGCCTGGCAGGGAGATGTCAAAAGTGGGCAGCCTGTGGGCATATGGCTGGCAGGAATTTACTTATTTATTTTTAAATGATCAATACACACAGTACTTTTGTGTTCAGTCCCTGTTCAATGTCACATATATATTCAATTTAGCCCATAACAACCCTGTAAGGTACTATTATTATCATGATTTCCCTTTGATGGATAAGGAAGTAGAGGCACAGAGAGGTTCAGGAACCTGCCCGAGATTAGAGATGTGGTCTGTATTTGGCCTTCAACATGGGCCAAATTTATTTGCCAACATTTACAAATTGTAAGACTGTGTATGAAATCCACAATTGTGTTGTTTCTTTAAAAACCGGAAGGTCTGATGACACTGGGCTCTGTGCCAAGCAGAACAAATCTGTAAAATGTAAACGTTTATTGATGAGCATACATAAAAAGTCAAGCAACCTGCGAGGTCCCCACTCTTGTCTCTACAGGCACTCTGAAAACAATGTGTATGAAAGATTCACTCTGAGGCAAAAATGAGACAGTGTTTTAATAGCAGAGTCAACTCCTCTTTTGGTAGGATTAGGCAATATTATCATCCAATAAACAGTGAGACAAAAAAAGCAAACAGGGCTTCAGACTGAAGGTGCTACTTCCAAGGTGTTGGCCTACTGGGTTTACAAGATTCCCAAATGCTTTCGTGCAAGGGTGAAAGTACATGAGTAACACTTACACATCGTACTAATAATTGCATCTCATCTGCAAACACACCCTTCATCGCCTGCTCTGCTACAATATGAGCCCTGTGAATATTTCTCCTTTGCCAGCTGGAATGTGGTGATGCTTTTTCAGCAGAGGTTGTTGGAGGGACACAGGAGGAGGAAGCAGTTTCTCTTCCTGATTCTGTGCTCCTCTCCAGGCTTTGGCAGCATGTGGTTTCTCTAGCACTTGGTTCTGGAGGTACATGATGGCTGGCAGTGCCCAGAAGCCAGCAGATTCTACCAGGACCCCCTTGAGCAGCTTTGCCACTAAGAGCACAAGGGAGGCACCTTTCTGTGAATGGCTTTTCCTGGATGCTGACTTACTTTCGAAGTAAGCCATGGAGTGCATCACAACTAATCAAGTCATTCCCTGTGGGAAATTGAAATAAAGCATCAATTTAAGCATGTGCTGGTCTGGTGTGGTGGCTCACACTTATAATCCCAGCACTTTGGGAGGCTGAGGCAGATGGATCACAAGGTCAGAGATCAAGACCATCCTGGCCAACATGGTGAAACCCTGTCTCTACTAAAAATAAAAAATTGGCTGGGTGTGGTGGTGCATGCCTGTAATCCCAGCTACTCATGAGGCTGAGGCATGAGAATTGCTTGAACCCAGGAGGCAGAGGTTGCAGTGAGCTGAGGCTGCGCCACTGCACTCCAGCCTGGTGACAGAGCAAGACTCCATCTCAAAAAATAAAAATAAATAAAGGCCGAGTGTGGTGGCTCACACCTGTAATCCCAGCACATTGTGAGGCTGAGACAGGCGGATCACGAGGTCAAGACATTGAGACCATCCTGGCCAACATGGTGAAACCCTATCTCTACTAAAAATACAAAAATTATCTGGGCCTGATAGCATGTGCCTAGAGTCCTAGCTACTCAGGAGACTAAGGTAGGAGAATAGCTTGAACCCAGGAGGCAGAGGTTGCAGTGAGCCAAGATTGTACCACTGCACTCCAGCCTGATGACAGAGTGAGACTCTGTCTCAAAAAAATAAAAAAAAAATTAAATAAATAAAAATAAGCATTATTTTGGGAGCCCAAGGATCTGCTGTACTTGTCCATTCTGGTAATAATAATTACTATAAGACCTATGGTGTGGGATGGATTCTTTTGAATGCACTTTAGCATATACAGAAAGAGAATGACAAGCCCTACAGAAAGGTTAAATAAAAAAGTCACTTAACCTTTAACCCAAGCCATGGTCTGAGAACTGGAAAACTTCCATGCCAGCTCTAGAAGAATCTCATATTTCTTTTTGCCATAGTGCTCACATTGCTGAAAATGAAACACAAAATTTAATTTGCATTGGTTGCTCAATTACAACAGTTGAACTCACAGTCTTTCCAGGTTTCTTAAGTAAAAGCCAGGGCATTCATTGGGGGAAACAGCCTCCTGAAACAGAATGGAAACATCTGGTTGGATGGATTGTCAGATGAAACTAACATCCCAGTCTCAATTACCCGTAGAAGTGGCTTGCCCTCCGGTGTCTAAGTAACCTAGGCCTGTTTTCCTGAAAACCCTGTGATAACCTCACCGGGGGCAGATACCTTGAAAACAGATGACTATCATCTTCATGACCCTCCATAACCACCCCATGATCCTCCTAAACCCCTAACTAGGCTCAGTCTCAGGGGTAAACATACACTTTATGGCCCAGAAAGAAGTAAGTTACACATTAAAAGGATTGCAAGCCTTTGCTAATGTATATACAAGATATCTTGTGTGATCTGAGAAGCATTTCTAGGTTCTAGGGATGGGTTCCCCAGCCACGTGGAACTGTGAGTCCATTTAACCTCTTTTTCTTTGTAAATTACCCAGTCTTGGATACATCTTTATTAGCAGAACCTAGGGATGGGTTCTAGGGTGGGAGTGGGTTCTAGGCATAGCAGCCTGGGGATGGAGGAAGAAAGCAGTAGATTGGGCAAAATAATGGATCTGCATTTACTAGAGATTCTGGATTTAGTATGTGAGCTTGTGTCATTGGAGGTGGCTCTAACAGTTTACTTGTATTCGTGACTAAAACCGGGACTCCACAGTGGCCTATATTTAATAATGCTGAGATGCCTGAGTTTCCCCGGCACAATGTAGAGGAGAGAATCCAAGGATTTAGGGAGATAGGAATTTGGGACTGGATTTTTTTTGTGTGATCTGCATACCCCTCACCCCACAACTACCACAAGAAGGCCCTGTAGAACCTTTTTGTTTGTCTGTTTTGAGACAGAGTCACACTCTGTTACCCAGGTTGGAGGGCAGGAGTGCAGTGGTGCGATCTTGGCTCACTGCAGTTTCTGCCTCCTGGGTTCAAGCGATTCTCCTGCCTCAGCCTCCCAA